AGCAATTGCTGTTTGAAAGATTTTGATGATGAGAGAAGCACAATTGATTCACTTGAAACTTAGCCACAGCGCAGTCCATAAAGCCTTATATGAATTCCCCTGCTGGAATTAAATTATGGGTAAATTTATGTGTAAATTGTATTTTAAGTCACTACTTTTTATGTTATGAAAACACTGTATTTCTGTGTGGGATTTGCATTTTCCTTCAAGTAATAATAAGCTAAGTAAAGCTATTTCTGGACCTTGAGCCACCCCCGAAAATTGGCTGCCATCCGCTCGGAGATTCCTTACCCATTTGTGGCGCTAACAAATGGGTTCAATCATATTTGCATCAGTTTGGACAAATTGAATACCCTTGCTCATTTGTAAGTTAGTCAACATCCGGTGGAAACCCGAAAACTGGGCAAAGCAGGATAAATGCTTTCTGTGTCAGAAAACTACTTTCGCAACGACTGACACACTGAGTGTAATAAAAGTCAAACGTGGTCGGTTTTGTGAACTAATAAGACGAGCACCGGATATGAGAAACTCAGATACAGCTATAGATACAGATACAAGATACACATACCATGTAGGGAGGACACTCGTCCCGGGCTAATAGATCATTAGTTAGCAGTTGTGCTGCTGTGACCATTTTTGGGGTTGTCTGCCCTTCCTTTTTTGGCTCTGGACGTGGCTATTTGAATATTTATTGCAGGCGTAACAGTAATTTATTGGCCAACATTTGTCATGTGAGCTGCAAGATCTCCTTACTGCAGTCCGTTTTCAGTCCCTTCTGCATGTGAAGCCTTTGTTAATTATGCCATTGTGAAAAAAGGGGTAAAGACGCGCCGGCTTCAAAGACATTTTAATATCCAGCCGGAGGGGGGAGCGCCAAAACTTTACCACTGATGATTATGTTGATGACAACGCTGTCGACGATGTCGGGGGGGCACAAAAAATAACACTCGCGATAAGGCAGTCTGCGAGTATCGAACGAGCAAACAAAACCCCGCCAAGTCAAAGTGCAATGCAGCATAAAAAATGCAGGAAAAGAAAAAGCGGGCCGAGAAATGGTGATGGCAAATGGGGTTGGGAAATGGGGCTGGGAAATGGGGATCAGACGCGTCGAGTGCATTGACAACTGACAGCAAAGAGGCTGAGCCGGCCCCAAGTTATGCATGCGAGTACGTCTGGGGCAGGAAAGGGTGCTGCGTTGCTTTCTTTTGCAAAATTGCTTGTTTACTTCAAAGCAAGCAATTCCTGGAGCATCAGCTGCGTCATGGCGCAAAACAATGCTGTCAACTTGGGCGTCGCTGCCATCGCACATCGCCATCAGCACTGCGAGAGGAGCATTGAAAGTGGCAGAACTCGGGGATTGATCGACTGTCAGATACCCATAGCAAACTAATGAAAAATTTCAGCAATTTCAAAGAATTTTCAATTCATAGTTATACTATTAACTAAATAGCTATCAATTTAAATAGAATATAACTCAAATAGTTTTCACTACTTTAGATGTGTACATTAAATGAAAGGCTGAATGCATATAAATTCATTTATCGAGTATGAATTTATTTATCTATATTATTATTATTATATTATATAGAAGTTACTTCATTTCCTCTTAATGGAGCAACCCTCGCTCAGAAAAGTAATGGGTATCAGAAGAGGCAGCAACAATGGCCAAGAAGCGAGTGCTTGAGACTTCCTCGAGGTCCCCAGGCTCTGCCGAGTGCCCCGACGGATATTGCCAGGGAAATTGATTGAAAGTTTGAGCATCTTAAAAGTAATGGTAATGAGATTGTTTGCACTCGCATTGCTCAGATGCATTGCTGAGATGCATTGCTCCTGCAGCTGCACATGTGCAGGAGTCCGTAATCCCCGAGTTCAATAATTATAAATAGTGCTCGAGAGTGTGGGCCTGTGAGTGCGATTACAGATTGCCTGGCTGCGCTACGTTTTGCTTTGTGGATGCTCTGTCAAATGTTATAAATACGCCTGCATTATGCGCCCCGATTCTGATGAATGGATGTCCAACAAATCTCCTTGCCCCTCCGGGCAGCTCCCTTGGCCAGGATGAACTGACCTGGTTGCCATCGAACGGTACGGTGTTTGGTGCTTGGTCTGCGCATAACAAATGGCCAGCAGATAACAATGGATGATGGGTACAAAAGCGAAGAGGAACCAACTGAAGGGTTGTTCAAGTGCCGGGCCACCAACCAGCCATCGGGGGAACCTGATTGAGGTCCCTTTCATATTCCGTTGAGAGTGGATCGATGCCGCTTATAAATATGCATGTGTAAATCGCAAAAAAATGCTGCACTTTACAATATAAATACGGCTGCTCAATTAAAGTATTTTGTTTCTTGAACGCGTTTTTACTTAAGCCTTCAGAAGCAATGTTTAATTGAGTGTAGTCTTTGTAGCCCTTGCAGTTTTTAAATTTGCCAAATCTGGCAACAAAACGAGGGGCCAAAGAAATTTTCGCACAATAATTACTTCGTAAGAAATCTTCCAGGGCTAATGGACTGCAAAGTGACGAATAGGCGGCCCAGGATGTGAATTTCGTCTTTCCGTACGATTTAAAATATTTAGTCAACATGTCTCCTGTTTTTTTTTTTAATTTTTGCGATTCATTGCGTGTGTGCCTTTAAATGTTAACCCAAGCAAAGCAGAGTAACGCAAATACTTTAAAATACCGAGTAAAATGGCCAGAGAGCAAAGTCCCGAGCATCCCGGGTAGCTTGTCAAACATGACCATTGCTATTGCCAGGCCACAAATCCATGTGATGTCTCCTGCTGTCTCATTTCTCTTAGATCTACGCTTCGCTGCACATGCAAACGTTTGTCAAAATAAAAAAAAAATGTATAAACCAAACACACGACCAAGAAAAATGAGAAAAGCCAAATGGAAGAGATGCTAGTGTTCCGCTCACATACGAGTATACACAAGCCAAAATAACTCATACGCCGCGTTGTCGCGTCCTCGCCTGTGTCCATTTGAGTGCACAATTTGAAAAGGCTACTTGCCTTGCTTTTGGCCTTGGGGCCTCCGTTACAAGAAGATGCGAGCAACACAGCATTGTCAATTTACCTCCTACTGTGTTTCTACACTGAGCCAATATCTTAGGAGCACAGTAAATAAATGTACGATGAGCGCTAGCTGACAAGCAAACTTTTGAGCGATCAAATATTTGATATAAATTAGGATGATTCGAATATCTATCTGTAAAAATACAAATTTGTTGTGTAGAATGACAACAATTTTATCTCACTGCATTTGACTGTGCATTAAAGTTGTTGCAATATTGCAGCGGTGAAAGCCTTGTCGCTAATGGGCCGAGACTTCTTTTGAGCCTCATCGCTGACTGAGACGGGATAATGCCACCAATGGAGACATCTGAAATCTGTGAAAAATCTTTGAATCCCGCTCTCAAAGAAAAAATGCTGAAACGCTTCTCATTGAAATTTTGTATGGATTTATTTGGTTGAGTTCATTCAGTTGCTTGATGTTCAGTTTGTTTCTTGTGTCTCAAGTTATTATTGTATTCCTTGTATTCATTGGGATAGGGGAGGGGTATTTTCCATATCGTTTCGAGTGCTTAATCATAACATACATTCATAATTCATTTGTAGAGTATATGCCTGGCTTTAAACTAAATCATTAATATATTTTACAATTATCTTTTATGGCTTCGTTTAGACGTTAAATTAGCTACACTTAGTTTATATTCAGATTGGTTGGAACACTTACATGCAGAAATATACGCATACATGATGACGACCGAACCATATATGCACGTTTGCTTGTATTTCGTTCTAATTGATGTAAGAGAAATCACTTGTTTCTTTATTTTTTTTTAGTTTGTTTTTCTGTTTTCTTATTTTCATCTTAACTAGCTGGAAATGGAAATTACATTTGCCATGCTGGGCCAATAATCTGTCTATAAGAGTTACGGCTCAACATTTTGTTTTATACACACTTTAAAGAAGTATTGTGCCTCGCTTGTGTGTTTTCTCTCCTCCATTGCCTAAAAACGTAAATATTAAAATGTAACAATAATTTACAATGTGCATTTATTTTGTTACTTTTATGCCTTTTTTACAGTTCAAACATTAAAGAGAAAAAATACAATTTGATATATAAATGCCATTTACAAACAACAACATTCCCACGTGTTTTTCTTAGTTTTGCTCTTTTTTGTTTATTTTCCAAACTTTACATACCAACAATAGGTCCTTGTTGTGTTTTCTATTTGTTATTTATAGTCTTTGGGAGTTTTTTTTTTGATAGAATGTGCAACTAATTTACATTCATTAATTTGCAGCGTTTCTGTTTGATTTGCTTTTTGGGTTCGGTAATACATTTGATTTACGATTTTACTATTTACACATTAATACTTAGTATTCATTTATGCTAAGCTAATTGCAGCTAATTTGCTTGTGTGTGTCTGTTAAGGTGTGAGTGTTTGCTTTATTTATATTGTTTACCATATATTTGAATAATGTAATTAATTTTCAATATAATTGCCAAGAAGGTGCGTTTTCGCATTGCTCGCCCATCTTCGTTTGAGTGAGTGTGAACTTTAAGTCTATTATATCAAGGATATACCTTACTAAATTTATTCTAGTTGTATGCGTTCATTGAGCCCAATTCCTAAAAATTGCAGCTCCTTACTGACTTCAGCTGACATTTACAAACATTTACAAAGTACCCTTCGAAATTAATATATACTTCTCGTTAGTGTATGGTAATCTGATGAAAAAATATGGCATAGGCTGTGTGTCCATCTGAGTACTTACTGTAAGGAAGGAACAATCATCTTCTGCTGCATTACTCATTTATTTGAATTGAGTGAAAGTATACCTAATGAAATGAAACCCTAATTTTTCTGGCTGCATTAAAAAATATAGCAATCTGTGCAAAATTTGCTATGCATTACGAGTTCTGAATATGTATTTCCTCGTTTCTGTTAATTTTCCGCATTGAAGTTTGATTTATTTATATTACAGCTTGGGTGTTTTAAATTACCGTTCAATTTTTATGATGCATTAATTAAACATTGTTGTTAGAATGTACACCTAAATTATAATTTCGTTTTGTGATATGTAACTACCACAGCAGCCGCATATAGAAAATTAAATATGTATATTTCGTGATTGAATTATAAATTGGCGGCCTAAAAGAATTAGTAATGTGGGCTTACTGGTTGCACATTGATAAGTTAACCGAATTACTGCTTGTATTCTTTAGGATTGTAATGCTCAGTGCAGAAGATTTGTGGCAGCCTTTGTATGAGCTTTGTACTAAAAAATATTCAGTTCCTCGACGAGCACACAAACGATTTAATTCTACAGAACGCTGCAATTTACTTCAATTCGTTTTGGCAACACTTAGCCTAGACACCAACCACGAAGAGCTCAAGACTTACATGACTACATAAATTGGTAATTTCGGGGATTCGGGGCGGCGAATATCCGTAAGATGCCAGGGAGACCTTAGACGCAGCTCTCCTGCTGCGAATACATGAGCGGGGTGCGAACGGTGACTATTTCGCGCGAATAGGACTTGCCCACGCCCGAAAGTCCCGATAATGAGCTACTGGGACTGGCCACGGCCGCCGTGGTGGAGGCCAATCCGCTGCTGTTGCTCGATACCAGCATCTGGCCATGGGCCATTTGCTGCTGTTGCTGCTGGTGTTGCTGGTAGGAGGGTGGCATGTTGGACGCAGGATGGTGGTGCATTTGCTGGTGCTGCTGCTGCTGTTGGTGCATCATTTGCATCATCGAAGCGGAGTTCTGCGGACCGCCCGCCAGCTGCTGCTGTGCGTGATGATTGTGCGGCAGTGTGTGGTAGCCACCGGGATGCTGGGGCAGGGTGTACATTTGCACGGTGCCAGGCGACACCGTGGATGGGGTGCCATGCGATCCTGGCGATGAGATGCTTGCCCCCGCACCGGTTACCCCCGATCCTGATCCACCGACACCGACACCGACACCTGCCACACCTGTTCCTGTGTCCACCTGCATCGTCTTGTACGCATCGATTTGCGCATATATCGTCGGCTCCTCAAAGTAATCGTAGTCGTACGTGGGCGGCGGAGCGTGCTGGTGCGGATGCTGCATGCCGCCCGCATTTGGCTTGTGGCGCTGCAGCGTCGCCGTCGCCGGAATGGTCGGCAGCAGCTTCCGCATACTGGAGCCGTGTGGCAAGGTGCCACCCAACATCGGATGGGGATGCTGAACCTGCCCCTGCTGCTGCTGTTGCTGTTGCTGCTGCTGCACCACGTGCTGCACCACCCCCACCCCGCCCACGGGCTGACCCTTCTTGGAGGCGCCACTGCTGCCGGATGGCATGTTGGTCAGCGACAGCTCGGCGTAGTGCAGCTCATCGTCCTGCAGGAAAGAGAATGGGCCAGGCATTTAATAAACCGCCACCACAGAATTTCTTGGAACAGTCGAGATTCCACTGAATAACTATTTGCTTGATGAACCCAAATACTTCTGACGCTATTTATTTCATCTTCATTTCAACATTCTGAGGAATAATTGAAAAACATATTTTTAAGCTTTCTGAGGAATTTCGATAATAAGCACAAACAAACAATGAAAGATTCTTAGAAATATTAAATTGTGGACAGAGATAATATTTAGTTTACATTAAACGAAAAACTAAGACAATCAAATCAAAAAGGGTTATAACTAAATAATATAAAATCAAAAACTAATTGTTAATTAGTCAGTAGCTCTTTTAATTAACAGCTATTATTATTCCCAATTCCTTTCCTAATTAAATGAAATTAGTTTCTGAGAAAAGAGTATTAGAAGAGTTTTTAGCAATAAGCACGAGGCATTCGTCAAGGTAACTACAAGTAACTTAATTTTCAATTTATTAAAAAAAACAGTTTGGGCTTTCAAGAAATACAGAAGTACAAACAAGATTACTCCTTAAGTGAGAAAATAGCGACAGAGTTAAGGCCAAAAGCCTCATTGCCAACTGTTTTCCGGGCAGGGCTAAAATCACAAGTTTATTTTCTAATCTGGCCCAAATTGTTTTCAAGAGCATTAGGATTTTCGCAAGAAATTTGCGACATCAAATCAAAGCATTTGTTATGGCAATGCTGTCGGCATTTTGGGTGGGTCTGCCCCCTCACCCGTCATAGAGTAGTTCGACTGTAATTAAAACTTTTCGGTGGCCAAAAGTTTGGCCGACTGCCGTCGACTCACCTTGCTGCTCTGATAGGTGCCACTGTCCGCCGAGTTGGCCTGGACGATTCCGGTGCCGGATGTTGAGCCCGGCTTGCAGCTGATTTCCACCTCGCTGGTCGTTGAAAGATGTCCCGATGGCGTTTGTGTTGCTGATTTTTGTTTATATTCGCCATCAACTGGATGGAAATTCCGGGTGGGGTGAATTCGGGTGATTGTGAGAACATCATGGAACGGATCAGAATGGAGAACGCTTAGTTAGTTCGAAAAGTTTTGAACTGGCCGACGACGTCGTTTTCGTTTCTCTGCTTTGTTGTTAAGTAGCAGGAGCAAGGCAAAAGTTTTTGGCCCGGCCGACGCCCTCAAATCTTTTGGTGATTTTCGGCACCAAGTTTTCTTCCTGCCCCATTTTGCTACCCACCGCCAGCTTCCTTGGCTTTACCCATAGTTTACTTTTTTTGGTTTTTTTTTTGGCCATGAAATTGCTTTACGTTTCGAAAATTGATTAAATTGTTGTGCTGTGCTGGTGGAGCTGCTTCTGCTTTGGCTGCCGCTTGATTTCTTGATTGCCATTAATCAAGCGAGCACGTGCAGTGAGTGAAATTGCTGGTGCTCCTTCTGCTGCTGCTCCTGCTGCTGCTGCTGCTACTCCCCATTTTGCCCATTTAACAGGGTCTTTAAGGCCCTCGACTGCAGACACATGAGCAAACAAGCTAACCGGCGAGGAGCTGACAGCAATTAGCTGTCATTTAAATATTTCAGCACTGGCACAAAAATGCAGCCAGCTCTCCAGCTCTCTAGCTGCCCAGGACTTTGGGTCCTGTTTGTTTTGCCTGCATGAGCCCTGGACGGCCTGTCAAATGCATTTGCATAAGGGGAAGCCCCAAGCCAGCGGCCATAAATTGTGAACAGAAGCCTGGGCAGACGCCATTTATCTTGGGGGCACACCCAGAGGTTGGGTATCTAAGCAAAGGGGGTTTTTTGTGGAACCGGTAACTTACCCTCATTGTAGGGCACCACATCGGGATTCTTCTCGTCGTACATCTCCTCGGAGTGACTCAATGGCAATGAGATTTTGTCCTTAATTTGCAAATTGCCCGGACGTGAGAATTTCGCATTCGGATGTACGAATTTCTGTTGCTGCTGATGCTTATGCGAGCGCAGCTTCAGTGCGGCAATGGTGCCAATACCGATGCACACGATGGCCACCAGGATGCCCACGAAGATGCCAATCGACAGGATCGGTGTCAGCTCGAAGTTATCAGGACTCTGGGCGCTGCCCTTGTAGGAGGTCAGGGCAACTGCAAAGGTAAATGCGATTCAAATATTGACAAAAGTTGAATATTTAACCATAGTATAAATATGCTCTTACGAAGCATTTCTCTTAGTTAACATCCATATTTCGATTTCTTTCGGTGTCTCTAGAAGGCATACAAATCTCTCCGTTGACTGAATGAATCCTCTATAAATGCTGATCATAATCAAGCTTAACCTTTACCCAGAGCATCTACGCTGTGACCCAGCCAGCCAAGACAATTTTCTTTTCTGATTTCCATCTCTGCCTGGTTTTCCTGCCGTTTGCTGTGTTTGCTTTGCACTTTTCTTTCCCCAGTGTTGCCACTGCTCGGACTGACTTATTTGAAAAATTGAAATGTCGGCTCAAGTTGTTTACACAAAATGTGACTGTCCCTTCTAGATGTTCTGCTCGCTTTTCGACTTCCTTTCCTTTGGTTTCCCCAAAAGGGAAATGTACGAAAATGAAAATAAAATTCTTGTCAGCTCTTCCTTTGGCTAATTAGCATTACAATTTCCTTTTTCGTTTAGACCCCTTACCCTCAATAAAAGAAAGTCGCTATCCGCATTCTTCCAACCCCAATTCATTAATGCTAATCATTTCAGATTTTTTTTTTTCGCTACTTTGTGCGAGGGAAGAAGGCCGCATAAAATTTTTGCGTTTACTGCCCGAAAACTGCAGGCAAAAGTTTTGTGTCGCTGAATTTACAATTCATTGAGCAGTTTAGCGTAATTAAATTTCGAGGTGGCATAATAATCATAAAACCCAGTACACTCTTTGCTGCGAAACTGATACAGCGGCTTTTCGCCGCATTAACTTATGCAGTTCGCTTCGTTTTGCGCAGAAATGAGAGTAAGTCTCAATATTAGCATAATAAAAGCATAAAAAACAAAAGAGCACTGAGCGAAAAAGCTAACTATTTACACTATTTTTATTTTTTTATGAATTTGTTGAATGCAAGCTCTGCAGAACTCATGTGACATTTTTCCCGCAGTGCTGATTTGCCCGGTCCGAACTTCTCTTAGTATGAAATTTCTCCCGCAGTGCTGATTTGCCCAGTCTTAATGACATATGAATTTTAAATTTAAAATAGTAGTAATGGTATTTTGTAACTTACCGGTCTGCTTCTCGGCCGCCTTCAAAGTGTATCCATCGAGGGCAATGGCATCGCTGCGTCCTCGTCCATTGGCGGCATACACATAGATCCGGAAGAGACGACCAGCATCCAGACCCGTAACACTCAGGGCCGCAAACTTGGCACTGATGTTGGCCTGGAGCTGACCACTGTGCTGATCGAAGATTTCCATGAGGAACCACTGCCGCATTCCGCCATCGAATCCTGCGAAAAGAAGAACAGACACCGATTGCATAACTTGTCACGAACTGGGGCTTACTTTGCATATTGACCGGTATTGGCATTAGCCAAGGGGAAGGCAGCTTTGAGCTTATTAATATTAAGTAGTTGCGGATGGATTGGCGTTTCTTATTTATACATTGCTCAGGGGCTTGGCGGGATTTATTTATGACTGCAAATGCCAGGACTTTGGTTTTCGGATTTTATTTGATGCCAGGTAAAACAGATAAATGGCCTTATCACTGACTAAAAGCTTTCAAACTTTGCAATGCAAATTCAGTGAGAAAACCTTTTCAACATGGAAACCATTTACAATGGCCATCAAGTTAGCAAATTATTTGTTGACCATGTACTTAATAACGATGAAGTCTCTTTTATGTCCATTTATATTTATTTCAAACGCTCTCAATTCCATAAAATACAAAAGCCTTTCTCAGAAACACCCAACTTGAGGTCACTGCTGCCGAAAATATGTATTTACAGTAATCTAAAGTTACACTTTAAATGCCATTTAATCACACCACAAAAGGACTGGCCAAAACCCACTCCAGTTCGCCCCTTTGACTGAAGATAGGCGAAGCGGTTTTGGCCAAAAGTAAGAGGCTAATGTTGGGCCACTTCTTTAGCGGCTGTTTTTGCCTAGCTTTGGCAGCTCAAATGCCACTTCATTGTAGACACAAAAGCCGACTTAAAACACTTGCGAAAAATGTTAAAATATTTTGTAATAAAAGCAGCGGCCAGTGAAAAGGTTTAGGGCGGGTTTTTCACCAGCAACAACTACTTCAGCCTGGCACACGCCCCCGGGTCCCAAGGAGAAATTGTTGTGGAAAATGTTTTATATGTTGCCATGAATTTTAGTTGTTGTTGGCCGCCTTTTTAGCCACCCGAATTCGCCGGCACAAAGAAAAGGGCACGGAAATAGAGTAAAGAGAATGTGCTTGGCCTTTGCCTCAAAGCGTCATTGTTCGATGGGTGGCTAGGGTGCTGGGTGGTTCGGTGGTTCGGTGGGTTTATTCCATTCTTATTTTCTACTCCCTTTCAAGGAATCCACCCCCTGCTCCTTTCTTGTTGGCGGCCATTTTGTGCGCACTTTAAAACGTTTAGCTAATGAAATTTGCCGCAGCTCCGTTGTCAGAGCAAAAAAAAACTTCATTGTAATGGGTTAATTTTATTTACTTGGCTACAGCAACAATGGACGCTACGCAAGTGGAGTAAAAATAATAAAGCAAGAGCGACTAGCAACAGCAACAGCAGTACACTCAAAAAAAGCATTAAATGGCTTATGTAATATGTTGATTCATCAGCATTTTTAACATATAACGATTTTAACAGTATCTTAAACCATTTAATTGCGAATTTTGATTCAGTCAATATTGAGAATAACATTTTCTATTTGTTGATCTTAAAGTGTGCTAAGTACAGCTGCATTCAGAAAATGCAGTTTCTTCTGCATTACTTCATTTTCCATTGAATTAGATTATTTCTCAGTGCAGCAGCATCGTCAGCAGCGAAGCAAAATGTTATAAACTGAAATTTCATTATATTAAACCGACGCTTGATGAGTTCGGTTAGCTGCCGTTCCCATTCCCGTTGCCCAGTAAGTTTGTTATATTTTTTGTTTTCCGACCAATGGAAAAATGAAAACAGCAGTAGCCAACCGAACTTGGCCCCCAAAGATGTGGAGTTGTCTTCAGTACCGCACATTGGATTCAATTCAAGGCGGGCTGAGAGTTGGTTTAAGCTCCGTTCGGTTCGGTTTGAGCCGAGTTGAGCTGCGGCGATGGCCACGTCGAGTTGAGTTGGCCAACTTGCGTGCTGGCTTATTAAAGTCGACCGCAGCTAAAGTTGAGTTATTATAAAAACAAACGACCAAGGGCTGTGGGCGGTGGGTGGTGGGTGGTGCTTGGTGTATGCCAGTAAGGGGCGTGGCATTTCACCAGTCGTTCGCCTTAATGTGAAGTGCAATATAAAAAGTATCGCATTGTGCGCGCCACCCTGATCCTGATCCTGATGCTGCTGCTCTTGTGTTGTGCTTAAACAACTTGCGTTAAAGTTTTAATGATGCTGATGACTATGATAATAATGTGCAGCCACTAAATTAGCAGCCCGAGGGGCGGAAAAGGGGGCGAAAGTGGGACTGTGGGAGTGATGCGGTAATAAGGCGAACAATGGCTTTTCAAGGCGGCGAGGGAGAGATGGAACAGTAGGAGCTTTAAGTCCTCGCTGCACTGCATACGTAATGGAAACTAAAGTTCGGTCATCAAGTATACGCAACGTGGCCGCTAACGAGGGCTAGATAAGTAGATAGCTTGATGAGGAATGACAAGCGGTTGTTCTATTCAGATTAAATTGTTAGTAAGTTACAAATTTACATGAATTACAACTATTTCAATAAATAGGTCAATTTTGCAACAAAATATACGAGAGTTTTTTAGAATTCAAGTACAATTGAAATTTTAAGATTTATTATCAAAATTACTATAAATGCATCCTTTCAATTTGAATACCTCTGAAGTTAAAGATTAAGCCAACAAAGTAATTGCTGCCACATGCGCTGGCCCAAACGGCATATGAAACGTATAAAAAAAGGGAAAACTCAAGCATTTCCGAGCAGTCTCATGAATCGCAACAATGAAGGCACTGCCAAGGAATTTCCCTGCTTTTCGCCATTCTGCAGCGCGTAGTAATGCAATTACACATTACGCATACGCGATGTGGGCAAGCACTTGAGACAACATTAAGTAAGCAAAACAATTGCGATTGCCGGCAATTGGTGGAAAACATTGAGCGCTTAAAGCGGATGGATGGGGTGGGGGAGGGGGGAAGTGGAAAAGTGGAAAGCGCCAAGCGGGGGCGTAACAAACAGTAGCGGGAAAGAGCGCCATTAAGTATGCAGTTATTATGCGCTTTTTGTTACACTTCTTGCAGCAGCCGCCTCGTTATGCAACGCTTTGATTTGCGTTGCCTTTTCGCAGGATCCGCATGCTTTTCCCTCCGGTTTTCCCCCCGCTCTTGCTCTTGCCACCCTCTCGATGCCCCTGTCTCCGGTTCGGCACTCAAGGACTGCATAAATGCATCATAAGCTCGGAGCTGTTGCAATTTGCGAGGACATTTCTCTGTCTGCGCTAATGTGCAACTCTATCGCTGCGAACTTTGAACTCTGGGACTGCAATTTGTGCTGCTTATTTTGCGCTTTGCTGGCATTTTTCTGTCTTTGCGTTTTCCACTCTTGCGCTGCGCATAAAATATGCGAATTGAATTTGTATTTAAAGTTCCGTTCTCGGTCTTCTCAGTCTTCGGAAACTGGCAACTTGCAACTGGAAGGCAGCAAGTTGCCTAACAAGCCAAAACATTTTGTATGTACAAATTTGCGCTTAACTTTCGGCCGTGCACTCTTCGTCCTTTCCGCTTTCACTCCGCTCATCACCGGTCTTCTTCTATTTTATTTATTACTGCAAATTTTAAACTGGAATTGAAATTTTAGGAACATTATTTCCTCCGCTCTGCGAAGCGTTTCCTTTCTAGTTTTATGCTTTCATTGCGTTTTTATTATTTGTGTCTGCATCACGAAAGGAAGTTGGCTGTGCTTTACGATTGTGTGGATATGTGTTAGTGTGTAAGTAAGTGTGTGCGTGTGTGTGTGTGGGGGGGGGGAATGAATCGGTATCTGTATGAGTGGATAGACATACTCGTAGATGGCTGCCAAAGTGCACTTAAGTCGCTCATGTATTTTAAATGAGTCTGAAAAGCGTTGCAGGAAACTCAACATATACATGTTACATCTCTCGCACACTCGTGTTCATGCTGCAAAGGAAGTCTCAGGACATGACCACTCCCACTTGCGCCTTTCCCTTATCGCCCCTCTGCCATTGACCAATGCCTTTTTCGGCCATTGATTGGCTCATCAGCAATTATAGAAACAAAATGGAAGGAAAAAAAAAGCGACCAAACCGAAACGAATGAAAAAGGGCAACAAATTGGCTGGCAATTTGACGTATATATATATATATATATATATGTATGAGCTCTGTGTGGGCCATATAACTCACCTTCAATGCAATAAACCTCCAGCGAGTCGGACGTTTGATTGACCACCGTACAATTGGTGGGCGCTTCCGGTTTGCCAGCGGCTATCAAATGGAACACACAGGGCTCCTTCTGCTGACCCACATTGTTGTCGGCCCAGCACATGATGGTGCCAAAGTCCATTTCCTGCAAAAAGCGGAGGAGACAGTGTTTCGTCAATACTCAAGGGTGAAGATGGGTAAAAATAGATTGAGTACGAGGACAATCGTTAGATTCATTCATGGTCCCAAACGCATACGTGTACATATTTTTATTTTATTTATTTTTAGAAAAAATCCTGATGATATACACATACATATATTGCATATTTTTTCTAGTGATCCGAAATCAAATAATCATTTCTCTAGTTAAGTTGGATACTTGAAGGAAAAATATGTATGTAGCTTTTAAAATTCTTTTAGTGCCACTACTTAAATTCAACTCTGGGACACTCAGTTAAATGGAATTGAAGAAGCCGCGCTCGACATCAATGTGAACTTAATTCATTAAATCAATATGGATACGGGGCCAGTGCGTTGTCAGAGTTGCCCTGATTGATTGCAGCTGTCAATAAGTTTTTCATTAATATAATTTCATGTCATGTCAATGCTGGAAGGCCGAACAGAAAGCCGGAAGGAAAAATTCCCCGGCAGTAAAAACAAATGAAGCATTTTGTGGTTCTGTCCCACGGCTATCCCATATATGAGAGAGCATACACATACTCATATACATTTACATCCATATCTAAATCCGTGCAAATTGTGGGCGAGGAAGGAAGTCATGTTAACATGGCCCTAATGCCTGTCTATCCCATTGTATACCAGTGCTAAGTGGCCGCCTGCGGTCTTAGCCATTGTTTGTGCCTCTTGTTTATTTGTTTGCATTTTGTCAAATGTTGTGCTAATGAAATCCTTCGTCTCCGGTCAAGTGCACACACACTTACTCATACTCCCACACACCCACCAAACTAGTGGACCATTCCCACAACACGTCCCATGCAATCGATTCGCTTTCGTGGCCCGTAACTACGTATCTGCGTATCATTGTGTCTTTGTATGGCATGTTTACCTTTGTCCTTTTCCGTTGACTGCGAGCAGCAGAATCAACGCACTTAATCAACTTCAGGCTGGCAGGACTCATTAAAAATTGAAATCACTTTCGGGTGCACGGCGAAAAGTCAACGCAAATTGCAGCCTATTTGTCAGTCCGCGCGCGTTTTAACCTCGCTTCTGCTATCTTTTTGACTCGCAACGTGGGCGTGGCTGTCATTTTAATTAGGGCAAGAAAAGAAAAACATGGGTCACAAAAAAAAAACAAAAAAACCAACACACCCACCAAAAGGAAAGTTTGCCAACAGCCTGGGGAAAAGTCGAGATTTATGGAAATTGGAGAATGGTTAAGGTTCTACGGCCTTCGCTGATGGAAACTCCAATCGTTTAGAAAAAGAGTTTTAGAGTTGGCAGCTCAGATTGATTACTGGGCCCATTTCATTCTTTTTAATAAAAATCGATGGGTTTGCCATTAGGCTTTTATTGAGTTTATGCACCACGAGCATCCAATTAACTGAAATTGAGATATGAAGACTGATCATCAAAATTTCGCTGCTTAACTTTGATGTGCACCATTTAAAATTGTTCTTATACAAATATTATATTTTGCTTCTAAAATAAATAGAACTTCCTTTCCCAGAAACTATCTTTAACTTTAACAGAAAAATGAACTTCATGTGCGGTAACAATCTTTGTGTACAACCAGCTTATTCTACCATCAGAGGCAAATAAATTGCGAATATTCTGCAGCCTTTGACTCGAAATTTGAGCAACAGTGCTTATGCAAATTTATTACAAATTTATGAAAATTAAAATAGGTATTCATCTATGCGTGTGTTAGGCTAGTGTGTAATTGCGTTTGCAGTTTTTGTTGTGCTCTGTTGTGTTAGTGTTTGTATGTGGCTAAAGTGTTGGCACAAAGGCGCCATGTTGGCAGCTGCCAACACTGCGCATCAACACCAACGGGCCAAAAGGGAAAGTGGCTAGAAGCAGGAGCTACGTCTGCGGCAATATTATAATGGACCTGCCAGGGCCAAAAGCACAAAACCAGTATCCAGAAACCAGAAACCAACTCACTATCGCACACATAAGCACACACACACACACAATTGCCAGGCATTTAAAGTAATAATCAATGTGGGAGATGCACAGCACGCTCTGCTTTTTCTATTTGCAACTGTCATCGCCCGAGGCCGACAATCCTTGATAATTTCCTGTCCCTGGGGCCCCTGAATTTATGCCCCTCTATTTATTATGATTATTTCATTTTGTTTATATTGTTCTAATGTTGCGCCAGCAACAGTGTAAATATTGTTGCAGTAGCAGCACCAGGAGCAGCAGTTGCAGCCGTACAAACGAAAACAAAATCCATAGAATATGCCAACGTATACTTGATATTTTTCCATGTGTGTGTGTGTGTGTTGTTGCGAGTGCCTGTGTTTATCTGTGTGTGTTTAAGGGCTCTAAAGAGGACAAAATGCCACTTCAAGGCATTGCATTCTGTGCATTTCGTTTCAAGTCAAGTCTAGTGTTATTATTTATGCATTTTAATTAAAAATTTAAACATTTAAGTGACATTTTAATGAGTTTCTTGCACTGGGGTTCACACAGAAAGCGATGGAGCTGTGCCCCAAAAAGCCGAGAGACTGACATTTATTTTTGTGAAATATTTGAGAAATTTATATGTCAGCAGCGGAAATTGCTTGACATGAAAGCCTGGCAAAAATTGCTCTGCTCACACATAGAAAATAGCAATGGAATTGGGCGAAAAAAATGTGAGGAAATGCCCATGCACAAAACAAAATTAATGAGCTGTTGGCTGCCTTTGAGCAAATCGCACGGACTGAGAAAAAAAAAAAAATGGGAAGGAAAAGCGAAAAGAAAAGTCCCAACGAAAATGTGATGACGGCAACGACGACGTTTGAGCTGCGGTTGGCGGAAACCGGAAACAGCATATATGACAACCGAACGGAAGGGATTTTTCATATTCAATTGAGCTAAATGATTTATCTCTGTGTATGTGATTGTGTGTGTGTGTCCAATCAGTGCGATGGACTAGTGTTTGTGAGCGGAACTCATTTGAATGCCGTTTGACTGCCTCGCAATTCGTTCGTTTGATCGCTGAAATGTAAGCCGAGGCTGTCGCCGCCAGTTTGATTAGTTCCATACCGAAAAAAGGATCGAAAAAAACAGGAAAATTCGTAAAAGAGACGGAAAAGCAAGGAAAAGGGCAGAAGCAACCGCAACATTTTAAACTGGGTCAACTAGAAAAACCAGACGGAGCGAAGGCCCCGAAACTCTAAACCAAACCATACCAAACCAACTGGGTGCCATGCAACTTAAACAACTGTGTTGAGAGCCTCTTCTCAGCACATCCCCGCGTACCCCCCTGGAAAATCCCCCTTCCTGTCCTGGTCCATGCCATTTGCAGCATCCAGTTGCAGCTCCTCCACTGTCATCGCATAATGGCAGCCATGTTGGCTTACAAGCGACCACAAGCCCAGTCCGAAAAACTTAACACGTTTGTGGTCAGACAGCCAAGCGGAAATGTAGGTGGCGTACTGGCTGATGGGCAAAATGTAGCCATAAAAAATCTCTGGCAGGAGTTGGCTAGGATTTCAAGATGCCAATAAAAAAAAACTCAATGTTGCTGGAATTCTTATAAAAAGTTGCGTAAATGTAATCGACTTTCCCTACGAGTATACTTGATAAAAGGTGTCGTCCTTGATCCCTTAAATCTTTCTTTCTCTCTCGAGCCTCAAATTAAATAAATACCTAACACAGTATTTAATTGCGGATTTTAGTTGATAAAATAGAACGTTAAAATCGTTGCTATGAATATCACTTTACTTTTTTCTTTGCACCACTTAATTTGAAGTCTCCCCACTTCTGAGCTTCAACAACCGGCAATGATTGCTAGTATCATCTCCTGAGCTGCAAATTTCTATGGGCCACTCCACATGCAACTTTGTTCGGCTGACCGTAAAAATGTACACATCTGCTGTCGAGAGGCTGACATGGGGAATATCAAATGCAAAAACTGAAATCCCAACGATTCGGACATTGATGGGAGTGTAGCTCATTGATGGCCAATTTGCCCGGCCAATTGCTGGGGAGGAGCTCCGACAACTGCAATCGCAATTGCTGTTGGCCATTGGGGCCATTAATGCGGAAATGCTGCCAAAAAGCGACAGAGACAAGAGTCAAAAGAGTCGGACAGAGCCGGACAGAGCGGTGGAAGGTGGTGAGCTTTATCCTCTTCATTTTGGCCAATGATGATAACTATTAAAGTCAATGGCATTTACTTCCAATAATTTTCCTGCTCTTTTGTGCTAGCTTTTTATTTTTGCTTTTGTTTTTTTTTATTTTGTGCTTCCCAATAACCTTCGACATTCAATGGTGTTGTTGTGGATGATAATGATGATGATGGTGGTGGTGGTGGTGGCACTGCTGCTATTGGATTTTTAATTAGAAAGCAGTGCTAATAGAATTTTTAATTAAAATCGCTCGACTGGCACCAATGGCTGGCTGTTGTCTCTATCAGGAAGGGCTTTGCTCTACTTTACTTTCCCTGTTGCTGGCTGGCAAACATGACACGCACACAGGCCCAAATAAATGGCAACAACCATGTGACCCGCCTATTAATTAAAATTTTTGCTATTCAATAACAGACACCCCCCGTGGAGTTCAATGATACGCACTCTGCACTGAAAAAATGCCCTCTAGCGCTAAGATCATTGATACTAGCAATCCATTTGCTTAATTAAATAAAAACATATAGCGAAGGCGTAGAAAGAGTTATTTTTTTTTCTTTGTTAGACTTTTCTACTCTATCTATGTCTATTAAAAAACTTGAATGACCTTTTCTATCGTTTTTTAATTTCCGTCTGTCATTTTTTCGCCCAGTGGCCAACAGCCAAAATGTCAAATGTGTCCATAACAATTTCACATTAAAAGCGAGCGCAGCGAAATATGAAATGAAAAATTTATCAAAGAGCCGCATGCTTTTACCAGAAATGAATCGAATGTCTGACGTGTTTAGCATTTAACATGACGAATGCGTCACGCATCTGCAAACCTCAATCCCGCCGACATTTGTCGGTTCCCAGGCGATTTTCCCGGAACCTCCGTTTTCGGACTTTTCGGACACTTTAAAACTTACCTTGACGGGGGTGTAGGTGAGGGTCGAACCCTGGGCGGAATGGGGCCGGAAACCGCTCTGCGGCATGTCGAAGGTCTCCGCCGTGTTGTTGAAGGACCACTTGAAGTTCTCCGGCGGCGGAAAGGCATCCACTTCGCACACTATTTCGGCGGCCTCGTTTCGCGCCACTCCATAGATTTTCTTTTGATCGGGCCGGCAAATTGGTTTATCTGCAAGTCGAAAAGCGGGGGAAAACAGTCGGTGAGTGCGGAGATCGAATCAAAGTTGGCTATAGTGCAGTTTGCTGTTAGCATCTGCAGCTGGAATCAATAATCTGGGCGGTGGCTTCTTTGTTTTAGCCCGCCCCTTCACAGGCTCGGAAAACCCAAGTAGAAAAGTTTACCCTTCTGTGTGTTCCTTCCTACAAGCTCCGTTTTTGGCCATTCAAGCAGCCCAATAAGCTCAACAAGGACGGTTGAACAGAAAACAGATACCGAAAAATAACCGAACCGAAACGGGTGAATCAACAAAGAAACTGAAGAGATGGCTCACTTTTAAAGGACTCAAATACCTTTGCTTTCTTTTATTAAAATGTATTTTTTTTAATCAATCCCAAATAAAAACATTTAAAAAGGGATAAGTTTCCGTACTGCAATGTGAAAGACGCTCTTGAATTTTCCGTTCAAAATTCATAAAATTTTATAAAACTACGAAGAGACGTCTCGAATGAAAGAAAAACTTTGCGCAGCGAAAACTTTTAGCGACATCAAGGAGAAATGCAAGGGAAAGCTGAGTTGAGCAGGCCAGGGAATATTCAATTTTCTAATCCTTGGCCGGCGAAAATCTTTCAACCGTCTTGCCACAGTCACGAAACTTTTGAAAGTTGCAAGTGGCGAATTTATTGTGCCATTTGACAACTGTCGATATTGCATGCCAAACTGGACCAGTAAACAAATTTTCAGCGCAGCTCGGGGAGCAAGGAAACGAAATTACGCTGTCCGAAAAGGGGAAAATGATGGCTACCAGTTGGACACTGAGTTTTCTGGCCAGCGGAAGCTCTCTGCGTAAAACAAAAACACGAAAAGCTGAAGAAGGCAGGAGTGGAAGTGATAAAAGGGAAATAGCACCGGAAAAACCAAAGCATAAGGCCGCAACAGCAGAGGGACTGCTTAAAGGGCCGGCTGACGAAAATGAATAGAAGCATCTTTGGCCTGCTAAATTGCTCGAAAAAGGCAAACTAATTAACCAAAGTTTGACTCAGGACCAGTTCAGGCGAAGTTCAGAAATCCGGCACAAATTGAGCAGAAGATTTGCGGTCCTGTATTTCCAGCGCAGCTGCAGACCCAAATTCGTTTTAGAAATACACCAAAGGAAATATGCCCTTCGGCTCGATTATCTCGGAAGTTTGCGGCTCGTGCAGCAATTTCTATAATTATGGCTATCAATCAAGTAAAATCTATGTAAAATATCAAATATATGAGAAAGTAAATAGCAATTTAGAGGAAATCAACTTATAGCAAATAAGGTGCTGAAATGATAAAATAATACATTTCATGTGGCATACCGCAATTATTGTTTTAATAGTTCACTAAAAATCTTTTCGTGGTTAATCCATGGATCGTTAGATAAATAACACGCAATCAAAGCTGTGTTCCTTATAGCATTGTGCCGCAAAAGTTCGGCGCTTGTGAATACACTTTCCACTTTCCCCTTTTCCCTGATCCACTTTTGCGACCCGTCCATAGCTCAGCGACACACAAAGGAGCATTCAAGCAGCGCACAATAATGGGGCGTATACGCAATAAAACTGCAAGAGGCCCGCACGAGCGCACAATGCTGGGAGTTCAGTTCGCCGTTCGTTGGTATACCGATGCCCCGCTGTTTGCCATCCATCCTCGTCTCTGGCCATACTCGAACACTCAATAATGCTCGTTTTTGTGTGTCAAAGGTCCACTCGAGAAACCAAATGGCACCAGGAGGCGCAGATGGACCAGCAGGAGCAGGAGCAGGAGCGGCGAAGAAGGATTTAAGTGGGTGGTTTTGGGACACAATCCGATTTCCTATTTAAGCCGCCGCCGAAGCATTTGTTAACGGCCCGAACGCAGCAGTTCGAGAGCGTTTTTATGGGTCAGCTAAAACACAATGCGGTGCACACAATGGCCACAAATCAACATATCCCGCAAATATCCTTGCCCACTCATCGCGATACTCACACATCACTTTCAGCTCGACCACATTCGAATCCCCATCGCCCTCCACGTTCGAGGCAGTGCAGGTGTAGTTTCCAGCTTGGTGACGAGTGACACCCTGGAGCGCCAGATCTCCGCTGCTGACAATCACGCCCGCTCGCTGGTTGTGCTGGATGATTTGGTGCTGCAATTGGCAGGATTAAGACATAATTACAGGGATTGTCAGTAAAAGGTACATACTAAATTAGAGAAGGAGCTAATGAGGAGAAATAACCATCGTTGGAGTACTATAATTCGCTTTTATTCAACTCTTAATCAACTGTTGGCATACGTACAATAAGATTTGTATTGTAACCAATGGTAACCGACATCAGTTATGACAGATCAGTAGCTCTGCAGATTTCAGCTTCTCTTTGCTTTAAAATAAAGTCGGATTTGCCAACTTTTATGCACTTAAGTCCCAGGGATACAAGGTCACCCATCCGGGCCCTTTTTACCCCCCGGAAAAACACTCATAAATGTGCGCATCAGTGAGCTGGCAGCTTCATTAAGAAGCTGTGCCTTTGCTGACTACGTGCCTGGCATCGATGCTGAAAAATCAGCCGATATTTACTTTAAGTTTTCCCTTAAACACACAAGTTTCACCTACCACCTTCCACCTCCCACATATTCGTAAGTAGGCCTTCACACTCAAATGCTTACAGAGGCTTGACCTTCTTGCCGCACTTTCTCGCACTTTCGCTCTCATTTTGAAATAATGCTCGAACCCCGATGTTCGCCTTTTGGTTTTGTAGCCTTTTCCCCAACAGGCCGGCACTCGACAACATTTTGACGCATTTCCCCAGAGCCTTGTGCCATTTAGCGGCAAAACAAATTCGCACTCTGCCCGAGCTCAGCAAACAAACAAGCGGCAGGCGGTGGGATTGGGGGGAATGGCAACAATGAAGGCATTGAAATAAATAGAAATAGAAATAAAAATGTGTATAAATATGGTCGACAAAAGTCAAAAAGCCAGAGTACGGCGAACAAAGCCTCGACGACCTTAGCACACATCCATACTGAGGTGTCTATATCGGGATGTGTGAGCAAATAAATGGAAACAATGCAGCCAGGCAGCGCAACACTACGATAATAGTGTGGACCAGTACACTCAAAAAACAATTCCTAAGAAAAATATTTCATTGCACAAACATACTAATGTTTTGAAAATGAGCCAGCTGAACTAGAAACTTCAGCTGAATTTAATAACTGCTTCAAATACCCTCTAAATACCATCAAAGCTTGATAGATTCCAAGCAAGCTTCAAAATAATTCTAATTATATTGTTTAATGTTCAAGTAATTATACTGTTTAATGCTCTACTTTGAAGTGTAAATAACAGGCCAGGAATTCGAGCTGAGCTGGAGGGCTAGAGTTGATACTCGAATGCATTGAGAAGGGGTCGTGTATCTTGGGAATTCCATGCTGCGGCTTTTGTTCGGCGACTTCTGTGGCGCGGGGGGCCCCTTCCATTGTGCAGATGTAAACAATTATTTAGATGGCTAGACATACGGCGAGTGCCGTGTCAGGACAATATTTGCCCACTAGTCACATTTCGGCTATTGAATTCCATTTGCTTTGTGTGCGAATGATTGATACTATTGGCAAAGTGTCGGCGCTATCCGATAACAGATTGCAGATACAGATGTATCCATTACATATGCAATGCTCGGCCGCTATTAGCATATCCCTCGACTTGTTTAAAGATCCTTAAAGTGCAGAAGAGCCCCAAAGGCATTGTGTGTCCTACCCCTCTCGAAAAAGGACCTGTCCCGCTTTCCGCACAGCCTCAATTCCCGTAGGGTCTACTTAAATAGCCCAAATGGGAGGGCGAACGAACTGTGGCTCGGCCCAGCGACCTTGTTGTCATAAAACAAATAAAAATGTCGCCATGCATATACGAAATGTAAATAAAGTTCAAGGTTGTCGCAGCCAAAACAGCAAAATGAGAAGAAACAAAAAAAAGAACAGAATGAGGCAAACCAAAAAGTGTAAACAAAGGCAAATAGAATGACAAAAAGAAGGTGGGCCTGGGCGTTTGGGATTATTTCAAATAGTTCGGGGCACATCCGCTGCAGAATTTCCGCCGCTAACCATCGCCCGTTCGAGGTCACCACCCCCAGACCCACTACCCACTTCCCACCCACCGCCCAGCCCCGCCGACTTGATGATGTCTGCACAACCCTTTAGTGCCCCTCAATGCTAATGGCGCATTTTATGCGTTGCCATTTCTGTTTGTCTGTCTCTCGGCCGTGTTTTCGACTTGTTTGCCAGCCACTCCTCAAGCGGCAAGAGCCTTGGGCCACAATCCAATCCAGGCCGTCCTCTTGTGTTCGTCTGTCATCGATGTTAGTTCCGACTATAAATACCCAATTAGTTTCCGTAATTTATCTGATGGCTCGGACTGATTGAGTTGATTTGGTTTCTGCTTTCCCCAAGCGCTTTTTACGCGGCTGCTCTTTTAAACTTTTACTCGAAAAATTTTTGATTTGCTTGAGAACTTCTGAAACCGTATTTTTAATGTACATATAAGTAACTATTTAAGAGACTTTACTTATTTTCTTGACTTTCATTCCTTTTCTTACGGTTTTCTTAGTCTTAAACTTGCAACAATTTAATGCTTTTAGATAATATCTTTTTTTGCAGAACGTCAAATACTTGTAGATTATAGTTTGCAATTTTAATTAGCTGTTGACATACACAGTAATTTATTTCTGTACGTTCAGTTAATAACAATAGGCAAGATCCGCAAATAAAGATATAACCGTTCAATTTGCAAAATCTATTCAATTTGCAATATGTATTTTTGTTCGTCAACCAGAAACTTGCAGTTGAGAATTTAAGATAATGAATGAAAACATTCGTTTCAATCAATATAAATTTTCGACTGCCTTTATGGGGCAACGAACCATTGCCACTTGCCTTGTGGAGCTATGTAAATATTTATGCTCAAGTTGCTGCAAAACTCTAAAGTCGTTTCCACCGACTTTGTTCTCTAATCAAATTTTCTGGCTATGTTTGCTATTTCTGCGGTTCCTGACGGAGCTGAGATAAATGCGAGTGTGTGGCCAAAATAAGTTTTACTGCCAACAGGATTCGGATTCATCCGAGGCTAGCTGGTTTCTCCGGCAACGATTCCATCAAAGTTTTGCTCCTTCTCCGACTTGTTGTTGTTAATGAACATGTGAAAACTTTTACCCGCACGCACATTCGCTTGAGAACTTTGGCCCCTACTTCAGTGTGTGTGTGTGTTTGTGTGTGTGTGCAAGTTTAATAAAACTAATTGTTAATTTAATTTGCCAGCTCGTCGTTAATTGTCAGCTTGTCTAATTGAATAATAACAGACGAAGACAAGTTGCCAGAGCTCCACTTTTTGCCCTTCGGCTGTTCTGCGTGGAAGAATAGTTAAGTTCAAACCGAATCGATGTGGTGGCAAAACAAAAATTAATTTACTTGTTAACTGGGTGCAACGGAGTTGATTTAACTTGATTTGACTTCTAATTGCATTTGTAGGTTGCAGCGTCGCCATTGCCATTGCCGTTCCCGTTGCCGTTGCCAATTAACAATTGACTTTTAATGAACGCCCGACTTGGCTTCCTCGCCTTCACTTTGGCCCAAGCCATTTGCAATTTTCCGCTTGGCCTTGAACTCATTACGCATACGCCATGTGCACAGCTCGACCAAGCGTGGCTGTCTGTCTAACCTCCGCACCACTCTCGCCATTTTACTTGACTGTTTTCCCAGTGTGTGTTTGGCTTAGTTTCGTATCCATTTCATTTCCATTTTTGCACTGCCGCAGTGAACTTTTATTGTTATGACACTTGGCTAAGAGCAAAGTGGGAGAGGGCAGAGAATCTGTAGGGGATTTCACGCTGAGCTGGGTAAACGTAAGTGACGATTGCCAACTAACCAACTAACTAACTGCGCTTGTATCGCTTTCTGCCTTGTTAGCCAGTCATACAAATCCTGTCTCGTAACGGGGGCATTAGTTAGCTATGGCAAAATCTCTTACATGGCATAAAAGGGTATTAAAATAGTCTAAAAGAGTCTGACATTTAATTATGACCGTCTTCAAATATTCAAATATTTATGCGTTGCAGTAATGTAAGGGTATTGGTGCATCGATATGAACTATTTCTGTTCTCAGTTGATTTGCATAGACTTCCTAAGCATTGATTGGTCCTTTCCCTATCTCTAGGTATCTATGTATCTTTCACTTTCTATAGCTTTTGTCTAGCCCTGCATAATTAGCATTTTGTTCGATGTTAGATAGAATGTAATGGAATCAGCACTCGAACCAAACCATTCCATTGTCTCTCGGGCAAATTATTATTTCATATAAACTTTTTATCTACCTACCCTGTTCTCTGGGCAAATGTCTTGTGGAAGTTCCTTTGTACTAAATATCCTTCGTTTGCCGCCCCTACACGAAAAACTTTTTGGTCGTCTTCGAGTATTTGTATTTGTATTTGCTTATTGTTGTTTTCGGTAAAAGTTATGGCTAAGTTGTTGGCTTTGCTGTTGCCGTTGTTTAGCTTGGCTCTTTGTTTGGTCATGTACTTCATTGTGAATGAATTCAATTAGCATTCATATTATTCATACACTTGATTCGTTTCTTGTTCGGCATTGAATAACATTTATTTGGCCACCATTGTTGTTGCCGTGGCTTGAGTTGCTTCTTTGTGGAACCACTAATAAACAAATGATTTGCCTTGTAAACTTGTACAAACTCCCGAAGTTCCGCCCCTGCCAAAACCCTGTCTCATGCCAGCCACTTGACTCTATTGCCTTAAAATAATTGGCCAATAATTCAGTAAAAATGACCACTTAATTTCGGCTTCATAATAATTTACCCGGCTGAAGGAAGTATCGTGTGTGTGGGAGTAGCACGCCAATGTCTTGGGAATTGCCGGAAGTTGCGCAGTTGTACGCTCAATTGCCTTGAGTGCAACATTTGAAGTATGTTTGAAGGTCAGTAAACAGAGAGCCATTTTAATAATATTTTAAATGAATTTTTATGTAAGAAGTGTTAAGGAAATGACAATTTATTTTGAATTCCTTTAAGGTAAAAACAAGAATGCTATAGTCCAGTTCTCCGACTATCAGATACCCAATACACAGCTAGTGGAAGTGCAAAACAAAAAATTTCAACAATTCCTGGAGTACCGGTTGAAATTGGGTAAAAAGTAATAATATGAAATAAAAGCTTAACATTTTTTAAAAGTGTGGGCGTGAGAGTTTTGGACGGCTAGTGGGCGTGGAAATAAACTTACGCAGCGTATATGACTCTGAAACCTGCATACTTAACCTCAACATTCTAGCTTTTGTAGTTCCTGAGATCGAGGCGTTCATACGGACGGACGGACGGACGGACGGACATGGCCAGTTTGACTCGGCTATTGATCCTAATCAAGAATAAATATTCTTTATATGCCTGTAAGTAAGTACCCTATGAGTAACGGGTATAATTATGTTAGGATTAAATTATTCAAAATCCAAACAAAATGCATATTCTATTTAGTTATAAAAACAAAAAGTAGATTTCTGATTATTTTTTCCCGTGCATCTGTCAAACTTTCGCAAGAGTCCGAAGTTTTTTTATGGCACTAGAAGGTATATTTATCCAAAAGCATACTTTACACTTTAGACCGTACCGTTCTAGCCCTTTCTCTCCCGCTTTTTGCACATGTTTCAATAAGAAGTGCCCTTTTAGAAGAGCCCTTCATAAATATTGCAAGTCAAGTCCAGTCAAGTCAAGGAAAGTTGTTTGTTTGCTCACTTACATTATGCTTCCATACAACTTTATAAGCAGCCGGATTTGCATGCACTTTACACTCAAAGTAGACATCATCGCCTTCCTCGATATCCTCCGGATTCAGATTGGAGCCCAGGTCCAGCTGCAAGGTGGGAATGACTGCAAAGAAAGTGGGTAAGACAGAAAACAAAACACTGGATGAGCATTGTATTCATTTGACTAAGACAGAGACTTAGACTTGGATTGGGATTGGGATTTACTCGGGTAGAGCTGCGAAGAGTCCATCAAACGTAATTTGCTGGCTGTTTTGGACAATCCTTCAACTCAAGCCCAAGAAAGAGGTATGAAATGGTGGGCGTTGGATGGGGCAGTAAGGGGGTTAATCTGGGCTTATCTGTGATTAGTGTCGCTCCTTCCTTGCCTTCTATCTATCTACGTATGTAGCCCAGTTGTCCCTCGGCATTTTGCCACCTTCCACTTGTTTATTATTATTTTGCACATTGTTTTTGGCAACTTTCCCTGCCAGGCGTAGTTCTGGTCTCTCCACTTCGCATTCTGTCTGCTTAGTGTTGCTGCCTTTTTCTTTGCTACTTCCTGGGGTGGCACGTTCTATAAGCAAGTTTCTTTAAGCCGATTTCGTCTTTTGCAAAGACTTGTTAATGAAAATGAAAAGTGCTTTAACACACACCATTGCAGAAACGAGAAGGGAATGGGCGTGAGCCGAATTAAAGAAGGGGGCTTTGGAGAAGGACTGACAAGAACAATGGGAACAGGAAGAACGAGTCAAAGCAGTTTGCATAATTTAAAGACTTTTCCCACTGCCCCACCATGGCTCCCTCCCCTCATTGTGTCTATCCTTTTCCCGCTCAACAAGTTCATTAGCGACGACTTTAAGCCGGCACAGAAAACTAAACTGAAACGAAGGGACAAGGGAAATGAAGGATGTGCACTGAACAAAATTCGGTGTTCTGAATGCACAAGAAATGATTTTTTTGTTAGCGAAAACAAATATTTTAAGTAGGCATTATTACTGCTAAAAAGCATTGTAAATATCATATTTATAGCCATAATTAAAATGCGAGCTGGTGTTAAAGCAACGCCAATTTTCTTCAACTGCATAATGACAGTGAGATATTTTCCGAAGGAAGTTCCAAGTGGCTGGCAGGCCACACTGTTGCGGTTAGGATGGGCTTAAGTGGTAATAACTGTCACTGGCCAAGCTGGCCAACTACGTCGGGCTAATGCATTTTATGGTCCTCCATCTCGGTGACCCCCGGTCCGATCCATCGTGGAGCGAATGTTCCGAAAACGAGAGGAAAAACCAAAGCAGCCCATCCCAGTCGTAACTGCAGCTTAACGTAACGACTTTTGAGTGCCTGTGCCACATTATGTTGCAGCTGCAGTTGAATTGGAAGGATTGCGTCTGTGTGCTCGCCATGGGTGTATGAGTGCGGGTGAGGCCTGTCATTGTCTATTGCACAAAGTTGAACCCGTTCTCGTTAGCAGTTCTTAAATTGATTCTACTATGCTCCCAAGGCAAATAAATTGAATTGGCCTGAGAGCTTATTTGTTTCGTCCTATTTCTAAATCCCCTTTGAGCGTAATTTAGTTATATTTAGAAGTTGGAAAAATACTGTAGTTAGACTTCTATTTTTCATCCAAAATAAAAGTCATTGTAAGTTGTAAGCTTTTTTAAATTAAATATTATTTGATACGTTTAGTCCCATAAATAATAAAAAAAAGGTATTCCCAAAGAGACCATGACTATTAGAAAACGAAATTTGCCTCGTCATTAAGTTTATTGCGGATACGACTTAAATTCTTGGTCTCTTTCCGTTGATTTAATTTCGGTTGTCTAACCTGCGTTGATTGTGTGGAAAATAAGAGGTCTGCCTGCGTGAAGGGTCTCTGATTAAGATATTAGAGATAACTTTTTTATGGCCCGGCTAAATGTGATGTAATATAATGAGAAAATTATTGGCAGCGTCAACTTCAACCTGGGCCATACCATCTCTGGTAGCAGCCGACATTGCATCAACTTTTCAATTTACCCCCGTCGCAGGAGGCAAACAAAGAACACGCTTAAAAAAGACACAAAATCTTTTCACGGCAGCGAGGAAAGTCGGGCGGGAAATATGAAATCTCAGGAAGTGTCAGCAGAAGGAAAACGGAGGGGGCCAAAATATTTTAAGCACGCTATAAACATGTAAATGAGCATGGAAATTGAAATTGTTATCTAATTTTTTATATCAGCGCTCGCGCAGAAGCCCGACTCCTTTGCACAAGACACTACACTGAGCGAAGATTCAGGACTTTAAATCAAATCGATTATTGATAGTGCAAACTTTGTAACTTTAAGCGCAAACTTTATAAGCCCCGTTCTTAATACTTAAACCTTTTGGCAAATAATCATATGTATAACATTTTCTTGCAGTGCATTCTCCGCAGCAAGCCGGGAAACATCCCCATCATCTCGGCAGCCAGCGAAAGGAGTAAAAGTTCCAATGACATTGGGGAACAACGAGGCTGTAAGCTTTTTAGATAATAGACGTGGCAACTGTTTGCCCAAGACGCTGTCGTCACAGCCCAGAAGTTGAGGACCCTGGACCCCAAGACTATTGAAACATTAAGGTTTAGGTTTATCCCATCCGCATATGTGTGTGGGTGTAGCCTAAAGTGAGCTCTTCCGGCTTGTCGTGCATTGTGTGCATAACTTTTCTCGGCCGCGCGCGTTTTTAATATTTTGCCATAGAAATTTTATTAACAAACTTTACCCCCAGCACATTGTTGACGCGGCCCATAAAACAAACGTTTGACATACGAGCCGAACCGAAAAAGAACAAAAATTGAACGCATTATGTAAGGACCGCCAATATTTGGAACAGAGTTCCGAAATCCCGGCTACCGCCTGTTATGTCACTATGGCATTGGTATGCAAAACAGTATTGATTCCCCAAAGGACATGGGCGATAAGCGGCTGACATAGTTTATGGGATCGCACGAGAACCAGTACGCGGGCCCATCGATGGTTTATGGGGCACTCATAAAGTAGCGACATATGTCAAATGGGGGTGTTATTAAAGCGGCCGGTATCGTCTGTTCCTGGTACCCAGAAAGGGTTGGGGAAACGAACCCTGACTATCGTTTTGATTGATTCTACAGCTAACAAGGGCGTTATGTAGCTTACCCAATAGCTCTGTCAACAAAATAATTTTAGAATATGTTAGCGTGATTTATTTGGGTGTTATTTAAGTATAGTTTGTTGACAAACTATTCAGTATACCTGCATTCTTTATTATACCTGCAATATATTTCTGTTTAATTCATTTAATGGCTCTCTCGATAAGTGCAATTTAAACGTTTCATTATCGATTGGTTAATTTGTAACACAACTTATACAGTGCGATTCGTTTAAAGGTATAAAGGTATACTCACAAAACACATTCAGCTTCATGGCCGTTTCTCGAATGCCATTTCGAACGAGTTCATTGGTTGCCCGACAGGATAAGGCCTTGCCATGATCCTCTCTTGTGGGTGTGATTGAAAGCACCGAAGTGCTGACATTGCCGTCCTCAGAAACCTTCAGAAAAATGTATATATTAATCCAGAAATTATAAAGTATTTATGCACCTACCTTCTGGCTGTGGCCATGCAGCTCGAGATTGCCCATCCACCAGGTGATTTTGGCCGGTGGCCTCGATCCGATCGCCTGGCACTCGATCTCATACTTTCGATCCGCTGACATCGGCTGATTGTTAAAGCTGATTTCCACCAGCAGAGGGCGCACTGTAAAACAAACAGTTTGATTATGAACGCGCATTAATTTCCATCGTGAAATTATTTGCTTAAATGGAGGTTAAGGTTGGTTTTTACTCTCGCCACTCGTTCGAAGTTTTTTGCCTGGCTTTGTTTTTCGCTTTCGTTATTTTGTTTGGTGCGACAGCAGCATTTTGTTGATTTATTTAAATTGTGTGTGAAAAATGGAAATCGAAATGGAAATGACAGGCAATGCAATTAAAATTAATTGCAACAAATTATGATTGCCACCAGCGGCAGTAACTGCGGCAATAACAACTGGGGAATGCAACAATATCAAGCATAGGGCAGCAAATATTTCTGTTTTCGCAAAAAGGATCCATAATACCGAATAATAAATGTCAGACGGAAAGGGCAAAGAAACCGACTCGAAACAATTCGCAGCCTCAGCCATTTTTCTCCTATATATTCAATATAATTAAATATTTAATTTTCGCAGAAAAACTATGAGAAATCGATGAGACGTTTATTATTAAGGGTAGCAATTAAAACTGCGTAAATTGCCATTAATGGTGGCTCTTTCCGGTTCCCTAAATTTATCGATAGCTCGAACAGACTCAATGGAAAACTATAACTTCCGAATCGCGATGGTTGACTGTTTAATAAATAATTGGCATGTGGATTGGTAGATCACAAACAGACAATGCATTACAGTTCAGCCAATAAATATTCATGCAATTACATTTATGTAATTTGTATATTTGTTAATATTCATGCTGACAGCAATTTGTTTACCCACAAAATTGAAAATTGCACAAACCAATAAACAATAACAAACATATTTTTTTCCCGCCATCCAAATATGGTCACGTAAAGCTTTGGAGTCTGGGTTCATTATCAGCATTACACAGCCTCCATCGTTATCGAGATGTCACAGCGATTGTTTTTGTTTTTCGCGCCTGCAGTTTTTCTTTTTTGTGCGCTCGTGAAAATTATAAATACGCTATTTGGGTTTGAATTGCAAAATTTGTGTTATTCAGCTATTTATTTTGTCGGAATAAATTGGAATCAACCAATTTGGGGAAGATTCGTTCAATTATTTCATATTGCCTAAATCCGCTTAGAGGGTATCATTAAACAGATACCTTTAAGACTCAATGCGCAAATTTCTTGCAATTTAACGAGTTAAGCCAACTGTTGTTCGTTCACTTTTTTCATTTGTTTTTACATTTGCTGCGGTTGGCTGCGCATTTTATGCGTTAATTTAAAGGCGTGACATTTAAGTTAAACCCAAATGCGATAATAAAAAAGGAAAAACCAAAAGAGGCGCTGGGCTGAGTGCTGGCCAACTATCTACAATTTTATTTATTTCAATGCCATTTTAACCTGTTTTTTCCTTGCATACATTACAATATAATTGCAGGTTTTTTTTATTGTTTTTATAGGCATTGAACAGGTTTCAGTGCGGTTGTTGGCGCAGCGCTTTATTGTAATTAAATTAATTATGCACATTTGCATTGAAAAATCATTTAAATGTTTAATTAAACGCACTACACCAGCGAGCATAGAAGACCTGAATGGTCCACCCCGAGGACTGAATGGCCACCAATTATGCAAACAGATCCATTAAATTGTTAAAGGCTCGCAGAGCGAAATCCCCGAAGGACATTTAATCGATAAGAAAGAAAAGCTACATTTTCCAGGTGGCCTATTTACCATTTATCGACTCCTGAAACTTTTGATGGGGAATGACGAACCCCTAGAATCTGATCCCCAATTGCACCAGAATTCGTGAATGCTGAGGAAACATTCTTATTCAATTAAATGTTGCACTCTTCACTTCGACCAGTTCTTTTGGGGCCTTGAATTGTGTGCTAATGAGGAACTCTCATAATTGTTTTGTGTGAGTGACTGAGTGTCGTGACGGGCGTAATCTAATTGTTAGTGGCCATAAAATTAACTAATTAAGGTCGTACTTATTATTCAACTGCCCCGTTTCCCGGTCTCCTCCATTCTGTCATTACACGCAAAGCAAAATAAAAACACCACAATTTCTGTCAAGGAAAAGTGGCGAATTCTGGTTACAACCACAACTGCTCGCTTCATTTCAAGGTCATTTGTTAATCGTAGTACGAAACTGTGGCCACATTAATTGGCCAAGTTAGCGACATTCCAGCGCCTCATCTTCCACTTTTCTTATGGTGTATTAACTTTTATGTCTTCGCGAGTGCGACACATTCCATGTTTTGCCCAGTATTCTGTCCCATCTCAGAGCAATAATATCAAATATGCGCATCACCAGCTGCTGCTTGTGGAACGTTGTGGCATTATTTTTTAGGGAACTAAGTAGGAATTGACGTCCAATTGCTTTGGCTTTTTGAGAGCCATGACAGACGCGCCAAAGTGCCATAAAATTCTATGGCCAATCTTTGGCTGTTTGCGCAACGCTAAGGGCCTGATAGCCAAATATTATATGGCATTTCGAGAAATCAGGGAGTGGTAGCTGGACCTTGTAAATATTACATGTACATGGTTGAAAAAGATCAAGTGCATTTCCCTCCATTTGCATCTGATTTAAAAGAGTAGTAAACTAGAAAAGTGTTTTTTGCGCCACATTCAGATAACTTTTATAGTTTGTAAAGAAAGACTAACTTTTGGATAGTCTGTGTTCCATTGTATCTCCACTAATAAAGCTGACAGAATTTGCAAATACATTTTTGTCACATCGAATTTATTTGCCAACAGCTTTTCCGAACACAAATCTCTTAACCACTCACACTCAGGCACTCGAAATTGGCAACAATTTAATTCAATTTAACAATTTTCACTGGCGGAGCGTCGAAAAAGGGCATTTAAAAATTGTCACAAAATAATAAATCCATTCGGGTCATGCACAGTCCACTAACCTGAACGCTACTATTATATGAAACACAAAATCAAAAAAAAAAAAAAAATACATATAGTTCGATATGATGTTGGCCGTACAATATGTGCCAGGTCAGAGGCCATTGTATGTAGGTGGGGTAAGTTACGCACAGGAATTTCTGTTAGCCGTTTTTCCTATTCGCTGTTTATTTTTTTTGGTCGTGGGTATCGCATGCAATGTTGCTGCTGTTGCCGTTTGCATTTTGTTATATTTGCATAAGCCATTTTATTATCTATTTTTTTGTGCTCAGCCTCTCTGAGTTTTGCCTTACTTATTTATTTATTATTTTTTTTTTTGTGTTTTCGGGGTGTTTGTTTCGTTTTTATCTGCGCAGCTATTTGTTAAAACTTTTATCGCAATGCTTAAAACCGAACAACAAAAGCAAGAGCACACAATCTGGATCAGGAAAGAGTGAAATAAATACAATAAATAAATAAATTGTTTGGCAAAACGCTTTTAGCACCATATTTGGGTCGTTTTAAACCGCTTCAATGCTGAAAAATGTTTCAGTTTATTACAAACAGGAAAGTCAGAAGGCGCCTAATGAAACAGAAAGCTTACGAATGCTTGTTTACAAAATGGCCAAAAACAAGGCACAATAGCCATTATTGATTAGCTGCTTTTAATAGTGCACCAAGAACATTGTACAATATATATATATTTTTTTAATATTTCATTTTGTAAAAGAGGCATTCTTGTACTCACGGTAGAGGTCGATCGTTATGTTGGTGGCCACATATTTCTTGTGAAAATTGCTGGCCTGGCAGGTGTAGACCGCATGCTGGTGGATTCTTGACAGGTTGTGAATTACCAGCCTGTTGGTGATGGCACCATCGTATGTGTAATCGGTAACGCCATTCTGCAACTGCCCATCCATCAGCCAGATGACTGTCGGCGGCGGAGAGCCTGGAAAAATAGCAAATATGTGGCTTAAATCTTGAGTTCGGCTTTAATTTTAAGTGGAAAATGCATAAGTGCATGTTGTCATAGTATAAAATCTTAATGGTAATGAATTATTGCTACCAAAATCCATAAATTTCTTTTTCCCTAATAAGCCGCACTGGCTTGGCCTAAAATTATCCATCAGCTGGATTAAAGAGCCTGTTATAATCTATCCTTAGAACCTCTAATTTAGTTAGCTGGTGGGGCTTGTTGACTAGCCACCACAGCGCTGCAATTGCTGCGGAGTTGGTGCCACTTAAATCAGCACACAGACGCACAACCACATTACTCATACGCAGCGTGGCGCACTTGGGCGCCTTTAACGACTTCAACTTAATCAAGCGCTGAAATTAGCTTTTGTGTGCGTATATGAGCGCACATTAATTTAATAGCAACGGGTGGTCGGTCACTCACTCAAAAGGAGAGCAAATAATACACTGCTAAAAATATAATAAATCATATGTGCAGCAAGACAGATTATCCAGATTACCAGCTGTATTTGATTAAATCTTATTTTAAGCGTCCCAACATGTAATTAAATTCTTTGTAATTGCATGAGCTTGCCGAACGTTTTTTCCAGTGTCTGGCGTTGACACAAATAAATTTTGTGACAAGCTTGTTGTATATTTTTCTATTATTACATAGTTATTACGCAAAATGCTTGATGAGTAGCCATAAAAAGCAATGCGACTGAACAAGTGCCATTAAATCCACCTGGAAATTCACTAAAACTAAGCCACGGATGGGCCGAAAACTGCACTTGATATGTTTGAAAAATGTGTCGCTCAGACACATAAACATAGATTTCCCTACACATACGTATGTATGCGAGGTAAACGCACATTACTTTGATTAATAACTGCCATTTGGTAGAGTTTTATGTTGTTTATGAAAATATTTCACATACTCGCAGAAGGCTCTCCCTGTGTGTGTGTGTGTGCATGTGTATTTGTGCCGGAGTAGATTAGCGCATGTGTAGCAAGGCGGCTTAATGGTTGCCAGTGATTTATTGGCCACTCCTCGACCAGCAATACAATGGGAATATATAACAAAAAACGCTTGCAGAGCCAGAGAAATTCCAGTGAAAAGTTTAATGCATTTGTTGCTCTTCTTTTGAACCCTTAAAGTCTGCAAATTTACTGACCCTTGCATTCACTTTAAGGCCCCGGCCAAGTATGCTTTCAAGAATCCGGTGATGTCTGCTGTTTTTTAATGTCAACATAAGGTGCCACAGCCCACACAAACACACACATACACATACACTGATGCAGCTGACTTGCATTTACTCTCCACACAAACACACCCAAAGTTTGCACTAGTTTTTTACTCTTTCACTCTGCTTTGCTTTCTTTTAACTTGCAGTTTCATACTCTGGACGGAGGCGTCTTAGAATATCCGAAACGTAGGCAATGATTTGTTTTAAAAACTCAAGCTTGAAGGAAAATGTAAAAAATTTCGTTGTATGTACTTAAAAGCAAAATATTTCAATAGAATATGTCAAAACATAAAAATTTTTTAATTTATAAAACGAAAATAAATAATTTCGTTTTTAATTATTGAATTTAAATACAATAGTTGCAAAGGATAATGTATGTAAAATGTATATCGGTATGACCTATCCTTCGAAAAGAGTACTTATGTCATAGTCCTTTAAAAAAAACCGCTCCTCTCTTTTATTTCCTTTTGCTTTTTAGCCAAGTGCTTTGCCATTTTTAGTGCAGGCATCAAAAAACGGGTTTTTGTGCCATGCAGCAGAGGAGCAGAAGCAGCGGCAAGAGCGACATTAGCATTTCTTTGCCATGTCCACCTGGCCTGCACTTGTCCACCTCCCACCGCCTACCACAGCCACGCCCACTTTCTAATGAGCAGCAGCATTCAAATGCGTGCCAGTTTTCAGCGTTTTCTTGCGACAAAGCCTTAAAGCCGCCACCAGCCAAGTCCGACTCACTTATGCACTTTTGCACACACGTTACCAGAACTCAAAAGAATTCCTCTATTTGGGTTTCACATTGTTTTCACTACCCACATCGCAGAAAAGTGCACAGCGAGAAGAAACTACCACAAAAATGTCTGCTATTTGTGGGATTTTACGGAATATTTTTCCAGCTTGTTTCCAATAATTCGAAGAATTCAATAAAAACAAAATAAATTATGAAATAATTCGATAACGTTGTTTTATTTCATTTAGGCTATATTGAGTTTGCTCTACCAGCCATCAAAATTCCTTCGTTTGTATTTTTGTTATTAAAGAATATAAATGAAATTAAACACCTATGTAATCTTTTGTTCTTTGTGTAAATAAAACTACACATGAACTTAGGCAAGCAAACGCTCTAGTTATGCAATGCTGAACTATTTGCTTGTTTAGTTTTGCATATCTTTGCATCTTGTGCATCTGTTTTGGCTTTGGATTTGTCTCGGCTGAAATAGATACACTGGTAAAAAAGTGGGTGAGGGGGTGGGACCACTCTTAAGAAATAGAAGAAAAAGCAGCAGAAATTTAGAACTCAAGATAGTAACAAAAAGTAAAGCAAAAGGAAGAAACTCTGCCATGGCACATAAATATTTTTTATGTTGTTGTCTTTGGCACAATTTCTGTTTATTCAGTTCGCAATCCCCCTGACTTCACTCCCCTTTTTTTTGTGCTCTTTGCCATTTGACCTTTTGTCCAATGAGGAAGCTGTAAAACAAATTTAAGGCTTGCCGACTTCAAGGAATTTTCTGAAAGAATAGCAGAAATTGCCTTCCTCAATTGTTATTTGTAGTTTGTTTATAAAGTGAGCCGCTGAATTCCTTCGTTCTTAATATTAAAGGAGGAATAATAATTGATACCTTCAAGGTTTTATACCTCTTAGTGCGCCTTTTCAGAAAACCCATAAATGAAAAATAAATGAAGTTGAAATTATGCAAACTTTTGTGGCAGACAATATACTATTTCAGCTTTCCCTCCACGTCCCCTTAAGTATTTCGCCCATTTTGTTCATCCCACTTTCGCCTTAGTAAATAACTTGTGTTGTTGCATGGCCCCGTATTGTTGCACTTCCGTGCTCCGAAATGTGCCACAACAACGGGGCAGCAACGTCGGTCGTAATAGTAATAATAACAACACGAGAAAACTGAAGAGAGAAATTTTTATAAAAATGCACACAATTTTGTACTCGCAACCTGCCTAGAACAACAACAGCAAACACAATAACAATATGGCCAACGCTCACTTTGGCCAAAACGGAAAACGCCTGCACTTCCGTTTGACACACACCAAAAACAAAAAAAAAAAAATTAAAGGAAAGGAAAAGAAAGGAGGGTAAAAAGCCATTTTTAGCACACTTTAGCAATGCTGGCAGTTCTGAGGGGTATATGCGAACTACAGATGAATATGTTTTTTGGCTAGATTGGGATACAGAAGATTTAAAGAAAAACTCCTGTTTAGCATCAAGGATTAACTTCCTTTTGTTAGCCAGTGTGCACTTTCTTTTCTTTTTGTTCAGGGGAAATTTAGTTTATTTTTAATACTAGTGCAATCTACCAAGTAAATAGGGTAACTATAATGCTCAACAACGATGTCACCCATCCGTTTAGTTAATGTTGTTTCCCGCGAGTTGGAGCTTTCATTGCACTATATGCTCCAAAGAGTTTCAGGCTAAGAGATGTGGAGCTAGGGGGATTTGGAGTCGCAGGGGCCGAAACCGCCGTGTGTAAAATTCATGACGTGCAGAAGAAGGCAACGCTGAATATTATGCATTAGTGGGCACATAAAGCCACGGCTTTCGCCCACTTTTTGCCCACTTTTCGTCCTCTTGGCCTCCAATGCCGGCGCACAATGGGTGCCCCTCAGTTCCAATGTATATATTCTTTATGATTGTGGCGGGGGCAAGTGAGCTGTGTTGGGGCAGATTGGTAATTTTTACTACCCACACAGACTGTGCTGGTTTATAACTTCATTTCGCTCCCCATTACTCCGCTACTCGTTTTTTTGGGGCTGGCGTGTCGCGCTCATTTGCAATTGTGGCCCTCCTCCTAGGCTGCAATAAAATTTACTGCTCCTTTGTCGATTTCGCACACTCTTAAGCCCAAACCGGCTGGCCTTCCTTATACCCCATACCGGTACTACCAAAGCGCCCAAAACACCAAACATTTCCATCCCGGGCCGCTCCTTTCTCATCGCCTGCCACTTTTGACTTACTTCTGCTGATTGCACTTGTTTAAGTGGCAACTTTTTCAGCACTTTATGCTCCCGCTACCTTCTCCCGGCTGGCTTTTTGTTTTGGCCACAGAATTGCAATTTCTGTAATGGACATTGCATGTTGAATGCCAAAGACCTGACCGCACTAGACCCAGAATCGAAAAGAGCCAAGAATGGAAACGGAGATGGTGCCGCACCGAGTATAATGTCAGCATTTGCCTACAATTTATTTCCGCCCGCTGTTAAAGATTTCAGTAGCATTTTCAAATTCACACCATTACTGGGTCGTTCCAACATAATTGGGATGTTCAGCGGTTAAGGGGAGAACGTGTCCGTTTAAAAGATAATGGCTATCGAGTCCACAAGGAGAAACCAAATTCAATTGTGGATTTCTCCTAATAAAATATACCAAAATAAATCAAGTTTCTTATACCATATATACCAATCGAATCTGCTTACCCCAAAGACCCACGAAATACCATTTACTTGTCTTTTTATAATGTAAGTTTTTTTATAGTTGATGTGCAAAATTTGTCGTCAAAATTTATTTTGAGTGCAACCATTTTCGTTACAACTCGGATCAATTTGTTCGTTTCAACTGTCAACGAGCCTGACCACACACACAGTCACTCTCTCCCACTCGTTTTGTACAAGTTTCAAGTACTTCGATTGCTTTACCTCACCCACCCCCCGCTCATTTGCCAACATCAACTGACTTCCTTTTTGCTTGTCAACAACTTGGTTGTCCATTCAGCCCCCCTCCGAACTATCCACCCACCTCGTATGTATTTACATTTGTACATTGGCAACATTTTCCTTGCCCCCATTTAATTGCCACATACAACATTTTGAGTGCCCAATTTTGCTGGTTCCTCTTTTCCTTTGCACCCCCCTTTCAGTTTCAGCCCTTTCGCGGGTTTAACCCCCTACCAACAAACACACATACACACACACAGTGCCGGCAGAAAACTACTGACCAGTTAACAGTTGCCGGGCAGTTTCAAGTGCAGTTTGCCTGCTTGGTGATTTATTTTATGTCAACGTTGACATGTCAAACCATTCAAAGTGGTTTCGCTTCCGCCCAGACCCAGAAAACAAAGGGGAGTACGCAGCGATAAAGCACGCGATTGTCGTTTGCTGGTGACATACTTATGTCGTGCACTGTGACGGCTTTCTGAGCGAAAGCTGCACGGCGTTCTTGGGTTGCGACACTCGGACTTCCCTCAACCAATCTGTATTTTGCTTCTCATTAACAACAATTGACTTAAGGGTTTTGTGTGCGATGCTCAGATTGTACACAGTGAGAAAAAGCTGAGAAAACATGATGTACATATTCCAAATAAATGTGCTCAAATACAAAGAGCTATCTTCCATTAGGATCATGGCTACCATGGCGTGGATATATTTTCAATGAAAAATGGTAGAATTGGCTTTTAAATATGAATGCCATTGTAATACCCAGATTTCCTGCCTGTATAGCCATTGTCGACGTATCAGCCACTGGGAATCATCGATAACAAAGACTGTTGACTTCTGAGGACCTTTCTCTCCACTTCTGCGCCCAATTCTTCTTGCTCTTGAGCAATTTTTAATCCTTTTGTTAAGCCAACACATTTGTTTGCGAAATTAACTTGGCTCCCAGGGATCCCAGCTTGACCTACTCGCCTTTCAATTGGCTCCTGTTTCACTGACATTTGTGTTCGCCTTCCTTACAATTGAACTTTACTTCATTTATGGTTTGTTGTTTATGCTCGTGCCTTTGTTTGCATGCCAACAAAGCTTAGTTACTCACCCCGAGTGTCTTTACAGCCACTTGTAAAGTTAAAATATTGATTGCATTTTACTGGGCTAGCAATTATTGTTTTATTTCACTGGTATTTCCCTGCCCCACACTCAGTACCGAAGGATATTGTTTATCATTACAAGAACTTACCGCCGTAAACAGCGCAGGTGACTTCCGGGCTGCCACCTTCTTCATAGGGACCAGCTCTCGAATCGATTCGCTGGCGACGCTCATTGAAGACAATCGGCTGCGTTGGCGGCACTGAAAAATAATTCATATTATTTAATTATGCATTAACTAAATCTGTTTCACTTTTAAAGAACTCGCCAAATCCCGGATCGCTTTCAATGATTTTAAACAGCCGCAAATCAGAAACAATTTGGCACTGTCAAAAGCAATGCAAAGGAAAAATTATACAACGTTTTTACTCATATAGCTAGAATAATAAATTGTAAGTTTTGCGGCTAACCGAAAATCATTTCAGCTAATTTATGTGCAACTCGTTTGGCTCGGTGTGCGTGTGTGTGAGTGTGTGTGTGTGTTTGGTACCAAAGAAATATTAATTGCTTTTATAATCGTTTCTGGCTTGCCATATTTATTTATTTATGTGAATGTTGATTTTATATGCACGTAGACAGTAAACAGAATATATATTTATTAATGGCTCTTTTTATTTAAACTCTTTGAAGTGGAAAATTTTTAATTGAGATTTGTTTTGGACAATCCAAGAAATATCTGCTTTTTAGTTGGCTTTCTTCGTTTTGGGTTCATTGTTTGCAAGAATTACAAAAATATTTTCATCCAAAATATCGAACATTTTGTTGTTGCTCTTATTGTGCAAATAGGCTATGTAAATTTCCATAAAAAAAACTTGTAAAAGTTTACATTTAAAGTTGTTATTAAAAAAGAAGAAAGAGGAGTATCAAATTTAGAATCATTTAAAAATTACTAGTTGAAAGTCCTTAGTTAAGGCCTCAATAAATTTGATGGGCGACCGTTTAGGCTTTCTTCACAATGGTTTCATATTAATTAAAAGTATTGGGCCATTATCAATTATAAGTGGGAGTGTGAGGCACGCGAAATAGATTGCTTTCCTGACACATTTCAGCTCTGGGGATACGCACCGACAACCTCCAAATTGACGTTGCTGTTGCGGGTCTGCGAAAGCTTGAAGTCCACGCGACACCGAAAGTTGCCCGCATCCTTTTCCTGAAATGAAATTCCAATTATAGAGCGCTGCGCTGTTGGCACTCGTGAGGGTGGAAAGTGAATGGGTTACCTTAAGCGGATTTATAATCAATTCCGCCGGCACCTTGTGCGTTCGAAATACGGCCCGATCTTCGAGGACCTCCTCGTCGCGCCAATGGGATGGGGTGCCTGCGTGGGCGCCACGTGTGTCGTAGCTGTCAAAGGAATTGCGATACGTTAACCCATATAACCGATATAGATACTGGATAAGGAAAGGATAAGGCTAGTAGTGCCCAATTTGACCCACCTGTAAATGGGTAAATTATTCTTGTACCAAACAACCAGAAGCACTTTGTCATCGGCCTGGCTGGAGCCCACATCGCATTTGATTTGTGCCGAGCTGTTCACCAGGACGCGCAGGATTTCGCCATCTGAAAAAAGAATGTGGATTGGCATGAGTAAGAGGAGTCGCTGCAAGTTGGCAAGTTATATTTTCAAGTTCTTTGCTTTTGGCTGAAAATGGAAGTCAATTTAGCTGGCAAATTGATTTTCAAGTGGCTGCCGCAACAATTTGTCACAAAGTGTTCAACAATTGCATTATTGCACACATACACATTCTCCCGAAATGCAGCAAAGAAGCCTCATGGAATTCCCAAAAAAAATGTTGATAAAGTTGTTTGTGCCAGAAAAAGTAGCGAAATATTTCATATTTTCTGGCACCCATTCAACGAGCTTTACTCTGATAAATGTGGCTACTTTTTGGGCTAGCCAAAGGCTTCCCTCTTCCCCCCTTATCTAATTAGCCAAAAGCTGACCAGTGTAGCCTGCATTCACACCATTGGGCTAAGCTTTAAAATATCGATCGATCTGCGGCTGTTTTTGCGGCCCGAAAAAGGAAAACCAAAAATAGCCGAAAATCGCCAAACGAAATCACAACATTCATAGAGAGTTGCAGATAACGGGAAGGGGCAATGGCAATGGCGATGGCGATTCTGATGGCGATGAAAAACCAGATATAGAAGGGAAAATGCAGCGACAAGCGACCACATAATGCTGCAAAACAAAACAGGGGAAAAAACACCGTTCTGTAAACCCTGAGGAGGGAAGGGATAAGCGGCATAAAGGGATGGAGGGATGGAGGGATGATGGTCCAGGGGGATAGTGGCAAAGCGGAGCTTAGGGGTGATTACCCGGCCACATGCGGATTACAAAATGGCCGCCATTTTCGTGTTCTGCTGCCCAGTGGTTGCCTTTTCCCCAGTGTGTGTGTGTGTGTGTTTATGCGGTAAAAATGCATTGGCAAATGCGTCTGACTTGTAAAAAGAGCGGGGAAAAAAGCAAATACAGAGAAAGAAAATAAAAACACAGTTCACTGATCGAATATTGAAATTCCAGGCATGCTGGAATCCGCTTTAATTTAGTAAAAACTGTGTAACTACTCTTGGTTAATCCACAAAAAAACGTGCTAGAAATATCATAAATCATGATTCAAACGTGCACTGCCAGATATCAAGTATTTACAGTCTTAAAAAGCTGACTGACATGAGTACAAACAGAAAATGGACCTTTTTAATTGCTATTTTAATTGACATTTCCTGGGGACGTAATCATCAATCGTATTAGTAGAATCCACTGGGCCATTTACTAGCATATTCGAGTCCTGTCTCTGACTTTTGTTGGCAGCACATTCCCTGGATAACCTTGGGGCATTCGGGCGGATTGGAGCGATAAGTGCCTTGGATGGCAAACGATATCGAACTTCACTTGCTGCGACAGAGGGTAAACGGTAGGCGCCTTTGGCATAGCTTTTGTTTCTAATTTTGCACTTGTGTGCGCAATGCTGCCGCAAAGGCCTACGCAATGGGGGCATCATTCGCCCACTCTGCCCCACTTTCTCCGTCCGCTTTCCCCATCCACTACCAGCCGCAAACGAGGAGCCATGTCCGTGGCCTGGGGCCTCTGGCTTCACTTCACTTTGTCCACACAGAGCACACCCGTAGCAGACCACATGATAAATAATCGATAAATTATGTGGACACATGTTTAATCTAGCATGAAATGGAATCATTTCCCTTCAATTTGTTGTTAGCCAGGCCAGCAAAACAACAAAGCAGGCGGCAGCAGTACGATAGAAAACCAACAAAACCCGACAAAAAACAAAAAAAAAACAGAAAGCGGAAAACAGCAGCGAACAGATGTGTTTCGGGTGCGTAGAGGGAAGGACCTATTTAAATATAAATAATGATCAAATTATAAACGCCGGCGAGTGGTCGCTGTCTGCTGACTAAACATTCGTCGTTGCTGCGAGGGAATTGTTTGTTATACACTAAATTATAGCGCATACGCCATGTTAACGCACTTGGCCAACTGGGCACAGTGTCAACTTGTCTGGACTCCAGACAACACAGTCGCATCTCTCCGGCGCTGAATGATTCATCATTCATCATTTGCTTAATTGCATGCCAAACATTACAATTACCGAAACGACAGCTGAAAATGTCCACCGACGAAACAATGTTCTGGCCATTTTACTATCTGTATAACTATTAGCATCTCTATCGCTGTCTGGTGTCTGGAGTTGCTTAATTAATATTTTATTTCATTAGCAGATTGGCCAGGAAGTGACATGTGTCGTCACAGAAAGCTGACACAGTTTAAACCACATTTGATAAGGTGGTCGGAGGGCTAAAAGCAGACAATTAGCTGGACAATAGATAGAGCCAAGTAAATGTGGTTGTCAATTTCTGTTAGTGAGACTTAAATTTTCCCGTGTCCACCTAGCCGTTGAAAGGGCTAAAAAAGCTCAATAAGCTCAGTTAATGCCTATTTTCCACACTTAAAGAAAGGAAACATTTTGGGGCGTTTAGCTTTTCGTGTACTAGGTAAATGTATTTGTATTTCTTTCATTTTTTGGAAACATAGTGGTAGTTGTTGATGTTAATGTAAATTATTATTAATGCATTAATATTAATCCCTCATCAAATTTTACTATTCCATTAAAGTCAGAAATAGGTAGCTTCTTTTGTTTAAATGCCTTAAGATGTTTCTTATCGTATGTATACCTACACATCCATGGATAATTAATCTTGGCAATTTATTTCTTCATTACGTAGTGGAAACTACGACCGAGTTGTCCTAATTTCATTCGCATAGGCGAACATCTGGGCGACGTTGCTTTGTCACCAACACAAAAGCACAAACAACGACACTGACAATGACTCTCTGGAAATCCTTCATGGCGATGCCTATAACAATGCCGCCACTTGTTGTGAGGCTGCTGCCGTTGTTTGCCCCCTCTTTGGTTTAATGTAATTGAACTTTTTCTAATTGACACTTGTCAGTGGCAAAGACATTTAAAAAGCAACAGCGAAAAAGAAATAAACTTAATTTTGACGCATTTACACATACATTTATTTCAATTTCCGAGCGCAACAAAGGGAGCGAAGCGAAGTAGTCGCAGTGGCAAACAAAACAATGCCAGCTCAACTGCCACACAGAAACTCGCATCAGGATAACTACACCCACACAAGCAAACAAACAGACGGGTGCGGGGGTCGGGGTCTGGAGAGGGGTTGTTCTAGGGGCGAGTTGTTTCTGTGTGTTTGTGGCACAATGAAAAGCTCCTTGACAATGGCACACAAAACGTAACTCGGGCTGGCGAATTTATTGCACTGGTGTGAGCATGAATGCGATGGGAATGGGAAGTCATAGGAGTGGTTGCAGTAACCGCAAAGAAAAAGCTGCAGGAGCTATGGCTGCGTCAGGTGGAGAGCAGCATGCTTCAGATCCTGGCGGAGAACACAGAGGACACAACTAAATACAAAAACCACGTGACAATGTTTTCCCCCTCCGATGACGAGCGATGGCTCGGTTGCTCCGCTGGCTGAAGAGCACACAATTCAGTGGTGCGGCACAGTTGGATGTATCCGTGTTGCCGTGTATCTAGCAGTCAGCAGCCAACAGCAACTTTGTGTCGCATTCGCAGAAAGAAAACCGCATGGGAATGCATCAAGTTGCGAGGAAAGCGGACGGCGAACGCCGCAATTCTGGATAACTGGGCGTATGCGTGATGTGTGGTCGTGTGGCGGAGGGATACTACAGAAATTCAAAGGTGAAAATGCCCGATTATAGTTTGTCTTTAAGCATCATTGGGTATGTGCATATAATATATGTATATTCATATGCTTGCGTAGAGTTCATCTCTTCTCCTTAATGAAACTTGGCGGAAATGTATTATACTCACTTCCCTATAGTTCCTTATCTTCATGATTTTCCTCATCTTCTTTACTTTTTTGTATTCAAATTTCCTATCCTACCTTCTACCCAACGAGTAGGGTAGGGTTTTATATATTTTCCATTTTCTTTTCATAAAATTTTTCAAATAGGTAAATATTAAATGCAATAAAAGAAGGAAGTTTATAAGAGGAAGCTTACAAGCTTAAAGAAATGACTTTATTACGGAACTATAAAGTTACATCCTGTACACCCCTTTAAATACGAACTGCATGACTTTACAAAAACATGGCCTGAGAATGGGCGCACATGTCGTATGCGCGTTATGCAGTGCACTTCGTTAAATCCAATAACAAGACAGACAGCGCCCACAACAACAAGAGCTGCTAAAATAACATACAATCACCAGAGACAGTTAGACAGGCAACCCTCAAAAAAGAGTGCTGGCTGCTTTTTCGTAGTGCTGGGGGTTGCCAAAGCGGAAGGACGAGGAGCTCCACAAGGAGACAGCTGCCATCCAACAGTAATTGACAGAAATCGCTCACAGGAGCATATATTCGTAGCACACATAAATGTACATGTACATGGCTGAAGAACTCCGGCCTGCAAGTGCAATGATAATGTCATACCGATTTCACTACATCTCCAACCCAGACAAGTGGCCTGCGGTTACGCGGTTTAATACAACCCAAAGGGTTGCCTTCAAATCAGATGGAACGGGTAAATTCAACATAAATGTATAAGTCATCCGGAGCAATGTGGGAATCAAGAATGCAAAGCCTGCAGCGACACATGAGTGAAATATAAACCCAGGCCAAAAATAAAACATTGAAGTATAAACATACAATGCAGAGTTATGGATCGCCACAGACACGTGCTGGCTGTTGTGGCTGGGAAATATTTTTCTTTCATGGCTCACGGACATCGTTAGTCGAAATTGTTGTGGAGCAGCGGATACGGAGGCAACAAAATGCTGAGCTAGTGCCGGGTGCCCCCAAATCAAAGGCAGCCAGAAACCAAGTTGAAGTTCAAAAGCATTCTTTAGCCAGTTATCGCAATCAGCAATTGTTAGTACATAAGATAGGTACACTTGATTAACCATAGACGTTCTTAACAATTAATCGTAGATCGCGTATGCCACCACTGATGAATCCAAGACTTGCTGGAACTTAAGTCAAAATAATTAAATTTTCTGCCA